TGACATAGCCATTACACTAACTGCTGGTCCCTCAACTGCCCGCTCTTTCAGGATCATAGTTATGGTGGTGCTGGGAGGAGGGTTGCATAACAGCTGCCTCTGGTTTAGTATCTCTGGGACTTGGTGGCAGGACTTCCCCACTGCCTGATCATCTGTCTCAGGAGGCTTGTGACTCCAGTGGCATACAGGGTCAAAGGCAATGGCTCTTTTGCTGGTGACAATCATAGTTCTCTGACCCTGGTCTTAGCAGTGGGACCACTCTGCTGCCTGGAAGTCTCTCTCAGGCTTGTAGCTCCAGTGGTTCTGGGCAAAAGGCCACAACTACCTCCTTGGCGAATACCTCGGTTCTCGGGCTCTGGATCTTGGTGGTGGGACCATCCACAGCCTGCTGTTTTCTCTCAGGCTCAGAGCTCAGATCCATCCAGTTGAGGTAACCGCTCCCTCTCTGGTGAATATTTCAGTTCCTGGACACTGGGTCCCAGCAGCAGGGTTGTGCCACAGCCTCCTAGTCTTTCTCAGGCTTGCAGCTCCAGAGGCATCTGCAGGGAGGTAACTGCTGCCTCGCTGGTGAAGGTCTCACTTCTCAGGCCTTCAGTCCCAGCAGCAGGGCTGTGCCACAGCCCGCTAGTCTCCATCAGGCTTGGAGTTCCAGCAGTGTTTGGGTGAAAGGCCACAGACCTCCCTGGTGATTATCTCTGCTCCCGGACCCTGGGTCCCAGCCATGTGGCTGTGTCATAGCCTGCTAGTCTCTTTCAGGCTCGGGGCTCCAGTGGCATCTGGAGTGAAAGGCCCCAACTGCCTCCCTGACATACATCTCATGCCTGGACCCTGGATCCCAGCAGTGGGCTCTTGTCTCAGCCTGCTAGTCCCTCTCAGGCTTGTAGCTCTAGAGGCAACCAGGCAGAGGTTAACTGCTGCCTCCTTGGCAAATATCTCAGTTCCTGGACCCTTGGCCCCAGTGACAGGGCTACACAGCCTGTTAGTCCTTCTGAGGCTTGGGGCTTCAGTGCTGCCCAAGGTGGGGGCGGTAACCACTGCCTTCCTGGTGAATACCTCAGTTCCTGGGCCCTCGTCCCCAGTGGCAGGGCTGTGTCATAGCTCACTAGTCTCTATTAGGCTTACAACTCCCACAGTGCTTGGTCATGGGGACAGCAACTGCCTTCCTTGTGTATATCACAGTTTCCAGACCCTGGGACCCGGTAGGGCTGCACGGTTCAGCTCAGTGCAGCAGCTGGTGCCCAGCAGTGGTCAGTCCTAGTGGCTTCATCCCAAGGTAGACATTGAAAGTCTCTCAAGATGGCACATACCCTGAACCTATGAGGTGAGAAGCACTGGGGCTGGCACCCCAGTGGTGGCCTTGATGCTTCCCTTGCCTAGACAGTTGGAAGTGCTCACTTCAGAGTCCCTACACAGACTTTTGTGCACACACATAGATACGTTCACCCTCACATGTGCTCACTTGTACGCCTATACATTCACTGCCATTTTCTCAGAACTAATTTTATTTTTAATTAATTAATTAACTTATTTATTTTTTGCTATAGGGCATGCATGTTTTCGAGAGAGAAAGAGAGAGAGAAAAAAAAACTAACTCCCAGAGGGGATGGGCACACCATGATTCCTTCTCCTCCAGTTTCCTCTTAGGAGTTTAGGCACACATGCACATGCACTTTTTTTAAAGAATTATTTGATTTAACTTTATTTATTTTTAATTTGACCAAAGAGAGATAGAATGAAAGAGCAAGAGAGAGAAAGAGAGAAAGCGAGTCACCAGATTTGGGACTCAAACTGCAGTCGGCCATGTGGGAGTCCAGTGCCCTTAACCACCATGCCACCTGCTGCCCCACCCAATGTGAATTTTCAAGCCTCCACGTCTGGGACTCAAATTGTGCAGTGGGCCATGTGGGATCCAGTACCTTAACTTCCATGCCACTTGCTGGCTCTGATAATTTTTTATTTTTAGTTCCCAGAGGGCACATGTGCTGTCCATGGAGACGGAAAGCTAGCAAGCACCCTCCAAGGGGGTGCAGTCATACTGTAATTTCTTTTTCTCCATTTCTCATTCCCGCCACCAGGTCCCATGCACATGTGCCAGCATGTTTTCCAAGCTTCTGCGTTTGGGATATAAACTGTGGTCAGCCATGTGGGACCTGGCGTCCTTAACCATTGTGCTATGGGACAGGCCCCTTGGGTTTTTATTATGTCCTTTGTACCTTTCAATAAAATTTACAATGAACTATCAGTTTTGGTTCAGGGTTTCCTAGTTTATACTTTTTATTTCTACTATAAATGATATATTTTCTTCTGTTGTGATTGATGTCTGATTGGTACTGTTGATGTATAAAATATCTCTAATTTATTGATTCTTTTATCAGATATACCATAAAACTTTTCTGTTTCTTTTTGGAAGAGAGAATTTTTGCTATAGGGCATGTGTGCTCACTGTAGAGATAGACACAGAGAGACAGAAAGCAAGAAATCACCTCCCCAGGGGGGATAACCATGTTGTAATCCCTTCTTCTCCATTCTCTTTTTGGGATTTTTGGGCATGCACACACATGCACCTCCTGTGAGTTTTAAGCTGCTGGTCTGGGGCTCAAACCATGGTCAACTATGTGAGTGTCCAGCAATGTAACCATTATGCTGTCTGCTGGTTCCAAACTCTTCTGTTTCTGATGGTTGAACTACAGGGTCTGTTTAATTTTCTGTGTAAACAATTACAAAGTTTGCAAGTAACAATTTACTTGTTCCTGGTCCTTGTGGCCTTTCTTTCTTTTTTATTGCCTATTTTATCTTATATAACATCAGGTAAAGGTAGTAATAACAGGCATTATTATATGTTCACTAAAATAATGAAATAATGTCTAAAGTTTTTCTATTAACATAATAGTAGCTCAATATTTTGTAAAGATAACCTTTACTCTAAGTTAAAGATATTTCTTTCTGGGGATCAGCAGTTAGCGTAATGGCTATGTCACTGAACTCCCATGTAGTCGACTGTGGTTTGAGTCCCAGACCCAGTGGCTTAAACTCACTCTGGGTGCTTGTGCGTGTGTGCCCAAGATCCCCAGAGGAGACTGGAGGAGAAGGGATTGCAGTGTGGCCATCTCCCTCTGGAGGGTGATTTCTTACTTTCTGTCTCTGTCTTTCTCTGTCTTTCTGGCGAGCGCACACGCCCTATAGCAAAACAAAAACAAAAACAAAAACAAAAAAACACCTCTCCAAAAAACAAAACAAAACAAAATGTTTCTTTCTAGGGCCAACTGGTGGCATGGAGGTTAAGGTGGCTAGGTCTCACATGACCAACTGGTTTACTTTGAGTCCCAGACCCAGTGACTTGAAAAACATGCTAGTCATATATGTGTGTATGTGCCTAAAATCCTGAGAGGAGAATAGTAGAGAAGGAATTGCAGTGTGGTCATCCCCCTGGGGGATGATTTTTCATTTTTCTTTTTCCTCTCTCTGACTGTCTCTCAGGTGAACACTTGTACCCTTAGCAAATTAAAAAAAAAATCCTTCTATTTGTGGTTTAAATGATTATCAAATTTTTAAAAAGATTTTTCTTTCTAAGTTTAGATACTATGATTTCTATCCTTTATTTTTTTAACATTTTTAATATGATAATTTATATTGATAGTTTTTTTTTTTGATACTGTGTACACTTTGAATTCTTGTGATAAGTCCAACTTGATCAAGATGCACTTTTTCTCTGCACCATTTAGTAATACTTTATTTAGGAATTTTGCATCTATGTTCATTACTGATTTTGGCTTATAGTTTTTCCTACGTGTGTTTTATATGTTTTGTTTTCATGATAGGATTCTTCTAACCTTTTATGATAAATTACATTACTTTAAACTTTATTAGAAACAGTTTGGTTAAGAAAGGGATCTTTATTCATTGAATGTTTGATGATATTTCATATGGAAACCTGTTTGGGCCCAGGTCCCCTTTCTCCCAGGTGTATGATTTTCAATTATTGGCTTAACTTTTTAATAGTTGTCATACAATTATTCAAGCTTTCTACCTCTTCTTTAATAAATTTTGGTACTTTAGAATTCCCTTATAAAAATTTCCATTTCATCACAGTTGTTTAAATGTACTCTTAGTGTTTATTTATTACTTTAAAAATGGTAGTTGCATTTAAAATCATATATTTCCCCCAATACTTCATTTTCTACTTGTTGTTAATTTTGTTATGTTGCCGTTTTATTGATATTTTACATTTATATAATTAATTCATGTGTAACAATAGTTCATAATTTCAATTTGATTTCCTTTTAAATATAAATTTAGGAATGTACTTTTTAGTCTCTAACGTTCTTGTTTACTATTTTTTAAAATGATTTGGTAATATGCCTTGTCCCCAAATTTCTAAATCATATTATTTAAGGCTCTTAATATATCCTCAGGTCTCAATTCTGAAATCAGATAAAAATTCTCTTGGCTTCTTATTTAAAAGAGCCTAGTAGAGTAAAATGATCAAAGTAATTAGCAACCATAATATAACAAATCAGCAATTTATCATATCTTGAATCATATTTTGTTCTTCAGTGGAGTCTGAGACAACTTTCTATACAGGTTAACATATTGCTGACTTATGAATTAGAAAAGATAAACAATCATGTGAGATTTTTGTAACACATTATTCTTTATTCAAGGGTAAAACAGAAAAAAAATTGTGTTTTGTATATCACAATGCACAGGTTCTGTAGGTTGTACATTTTAGGATTTTTCTGAAAAGTACTTCCTTGAATAATATGGCAAGTAGGAACAAAGGAACTTGTTCCCTGAGAGTAATCCTAGGAGAAGAATCATCTTTGCTGTATTGTTTTCAGAGCTAAAGAGATTAATATAGGCAATAAAGATAGAGATGATCTGAAAAAAAGAAAAGTAAACTAAATATCTTTTCTTGTAACTTGCATTCTTTTTATTGAGGCTCCATCTTTCCACTGAGTGTTCCTTTCCATTTTGTCAATTCTTTCCATCTCCTTGTTCAGGAAAAGAATGTAAGGAAAATGATGCCGGCACAAAAGACTTGATTTCCACAAATACCTTACCGTTGTCAAGTCAGAATGAGACACCCACATCATCAAAGGTAAAACTAGAATGATAGAGATTGGGCTGGCTCTAAGGCGTGGTGGTTAAGGCAGCCAGAGCCAACTTCATCAACCCTGGTTTGAGTCCCAGACCCTGCAACTTGAGAAATAAGCCAGGCACATGTACGTGTGCTCCAAGTCCAGAGAGGATGGAGAAATAGAGGAGCAGGAATTGTAGTGTGACTCACCCAATTGGGAAGATGTTTTCTCACTTTCTCTTTCTCTGTTAAGCACATAGTCTTTTGGGAAAAAAAGTAAGTAAAATAAAAGGAGAGAGATCACTGCTAATTGACTGTGGGTAAAACCTATACCAGTGACAAAGCTGTCTGGGGAATAGGTATCTATTTATTTCTCAGTTGTCACTGTGATGTTGAAAATGATCAAAGTAAGGATTTGAAATAGTGGAACTTTACAACTCTGAACAAAACCCCTTTCAGTAACACTCTGAGCATTTTACGTTTTTTTGTATTTATTTTGTTTTGTTTTACTAGTGGAGATATCAAATAAGTTTTACATGAAATATGTATCACCCTTAGATATATTGGTTATGGACTTTTTCATTGGTATAGGCAGCATGATACAGTATTCCCAAATTATGGAAAACTAGAAGACTTTGGAAAATCTAGGGAGATACTTGGAGTTAGAGCACAATAAAAAAAAAATGCGTTTTCATCTTGTGGGTGTTGCACTTTTTTTTCTTGCATAATCAGCGGAAGCACTGGGGTCTTACATGATATGGTACTCAAGTTTGCTCCCTTTAAGTTCCAGCAGTAGCAGAGATAAAAAATCAATACCATGAAAAAGTACCACTTTTCCCAGTTAAACTTCCCAAATTGGGATCAGCAGTTAGTGTAATGCCTATGTCACTGGATTCCCATGTAGTTGACTGCAGTTTGAATCCCAGACCAGTGGCTTAAACTCACTCCAGGCGCATGTGCGTGCGTGCCCAAGATCCCGAGAGGAGAATGGATTGTGGTGTGGCCATCCCCCTGGGGGGTGACTTCTCGCTTTCTGTCTCTCTGTTTCTCTCTGTCTTTCTAGGAAGCGCATGCGCCCTATAGCAAAAACCTCTCCAAAGGAAAAAACTTCCCAAGTTAGCTGGCCACCTCCAACTGAAGCTGGGAGAACTTCTATTTTTTAAAACTACTTTGTATTCAGAGCCTCCACCCACACCAACAATAGCCTTTGCCCTCCCCTTCCCTCTTTCAGTGAACCATGTGCAGGGTGATGTCTTGGCTGTGGAGAGACTCAGGTAACTGAGGCAGAAAGCTTCTTCCATCTTCTGGAAGTGCACACTAATGGCGACCTGAACAACTAGCCACACCCTCAGTATCAGCTCTTTAACCGACGCCCACATCCCTCTTGAGTGCAGCCCACTAAGGCAGGAGATAATAATTCCTTTCAGCTAGTATCTACTCAACTACCTCACCTAGAAGAGGATCACCACCCCCTTCACAAAGTCCAAGAATTCAGACTACCGCAGGGCAGCAGTTGTCATTGGGACCAGGAAATTCACTCCCTTGACAGGAAGTGTGTACTCTGTCAAATGCCTAAACATCAACACAGGGACAGAAGAAATAAAGAGAGGGAAATACTCCTCCTCTAAAGGAACACACTAACTCCTCACTAACAATGGACACCAGTCACATAATGGGTATTCCAGAATGTGAAGAGATGGGAAAAGATCTGGAAAATATATTTCATGAAATATTATTGGAAAACTTCCCACACCTAAGGAGTAGTACAGACATTCAGATACCTAAAGTTCTGATGACACCAAATAGATTCAATATAAAATACCTAGTGTAAGGCACATTGTAGTAAAAATGTCAAAAGTCAGACATAAAGAGAAAAATCCTAAAATGGCTAGAAGTAAGCACCAGGTTACTTATAAAGGAAACCCTATTAGACTAAACTCAGACTTATAAGCAGAAATTTTACATGCCAGGATGACATACTCAAAATTCTGAAAGAAAAATATTTTTAACAGAGAATACTATACTTTTCAAAATGGAAGGAGAAGTAAAATCATTCCCAAACAAAGTGCAGAAATTCACCAATATTAGACTGGCACTTTAAGAAACACTGAAGAATATACTACATCTGAAAATGAAAGGAAAATGAATATTGTGAAAAACACAAGAAGCTATAAAACTCACCATTAGAACAACACAAAAACAGGAGAAATGATTTGGTACCAATTACTGTGAGAAACTACTGAATAGCAAAGATTAACAATAACAGAAGAAAAAAGGAAATTAAAGATACACAGAACAACCAGGAAACAACCAGCAAAATGACTAATTTAAGTCATACATATCAGTAATATCATTGAATGTAAACACATCAAACTTCCCAATTAAAAATAAAGATTTGGGACCAGCAGATGGCATAGCAGTTATGGTGCTGGACTGATGATGGTTCAAATCTTAGACCCAGTGGCTTGAAACTCATGCGAGGGGGTGTGTGTGTGTGCATGCCCAAGATCCTGAGAGGAGAATAGAGAAGGGATTATGGTGTGGCTATCCCCCTTGGGGGGAGGGGTGATTTCTCACAAAGTAGAAAGAAAGGAAAGGAAGAAAGGAAGGAAGGAAGGAAGGAAGGAAGGAAGGAAGGAAGGAAAGAAAAACTGGCTAAATGGATAACAAAAACAGTATCCCTTTGTATACTGCTTTCTGGAAACACACCTCATTGGCAAAAACACACAGATTGTGAGTGAGAAGTTGGAAAAAGTCATTCCATGAAAATGGCAACTAAAAAAAAGCAGTATTTGCTATCCTAATATCAGACAAAAGACAAAATAAAACTTCAAGCTAAAAATCAGGAAGAGACAGAAAAGTCACTAGTGTTAAAGGGATCAACTCACTAAGGAGATATACCAGTAATAAATATGTATGCATCCAGCATTAGAGGATCCAAATATGTATATAAAATGAAGACTGTTAGACTTAACACAAGAGATAGACTTTTATGCATTAATTTCTGGAGATTTCAACACCCTACTGTACTCATTGGATAAATCATCTAGACAAAAATTAAAGAAACTGGAGTTAAACCAATTGGCCCTAACCCAATGAACATGATACTGGCATAAAAACAGACACATAGTCCAGTAGAATAGGTTAGAAATTCCAGGAATAAACCCAACAATATACAATAAACTGCTTTTCAACAAAGGTCAACTCAGTGGAGAAAAGATAGTTTTTTTAAATAAATGATGCTGGAAATACTGGTTATTCACTTGCAGAAAAATGAAAAGTAAACCCCCATCTCTCACCATTTACCGAACTTAACTCTAAGCAGATGAAAGACTTACATGTAATATCAAAATTATAAAACTACTTGAGGTAAATGAAGAGGAAACACTTCAAGATATTGGAGTAGGCAAAAATTTCTTAAATAAAACCTCTGAAGCATGAGCACCATTACAAACAAATAGACAAGTGTGATTACATTAAAATAAAAAGCTTGTGACCGAAAGGTGAAAATAACAAAGGCAAGAGACAAACAATAGAATGTGAAAATATTTGCAAACTATGCTTCAGATAAAGGATTGATTACCGTAATCTATAAGGAACTCAAACAACTAATCAGCAAGAAACTAAAAAGTGGGCACTCTTTTCTGAATAAACTCTCAAAGAAAGAAATACAAATGGCTAGAAGCATATGAACAAATACTCAACGTCTCTTGTCATAAAGGAAATGCACAGCAAAACCACAACGAAGTATCATCTAACTTTGTATGAATGAGTATGATCAAAAAAATAGTAACAAGTGCTGGGAAAAGAGAACTCTTCTATACTATTGATGGTAATATAAATTAGTACAGCTATTATGGAAAATAGTATGGAGCGTCCTCATAAATCTAAAAATAGAATTTTCATAAGACAGTTTTGGGTATTTATCTAGAGAACAGAAAATCACTCAGAAGGAGAGTCATTTACACATTCATGTTAATTGTAGCATTATTCACAATAGTTAAGACACAGAATCAGCCTAACTGTCCACAACTGATGCGGTATATATACACAATAAAATACTCCTTAGGAATAAAGAACAACAAATCCTGTCATTTGACACAAAGTAGACAAATCTAGAAGATACAATGTTAAATGAAATAAGCAAAGCTGTGAAAGAAAAATACTGTGTGTCCTCACAAAAGATATACTGAATATCTATAACTCTATGGCAGAAACTGGAGGACTCAGTGGCATAGAAGTAGGAAGAAAATTGGATGCTAGAAACTGCATAGAATCTGGGAATGAGGGGTTTTGGAAGGGATTCGAGAAATGATCAACAGATATAAGATTGTATGTAAGAAAGTAGTAGAATAAATTGGACAGTGTACCATGTAAAAGTAAAAAATGTCACTGACAATTTAATATATACTTCCAAACCAGCAACACTAACAAAAAAGGACTAGTAGAAGTATTATTGAATGTGCATAACATAATGTAATGTTCAGTGAGGAATGAGGTAATATATCTAAATCCTTCATTCGATTATCACACACTGTATACATGCTTTGAAAAGCCATACTGCATTCTACAAAGATGTGCAATGATTGTATGTAAAATAAATCACATAAAAAATTAAATAACAATTTAAAAGACATTGTAGCCTGGTTGTTTTCTCTGGTAGGATTTCATCTGTTCCTCTATATTGCTAATGTGGCCCCAGCAAATTCACCATCACATCTCTGTCACATCTCTAGCTGGGAAGCTTTAGCTCTTTTTTAAAAAATATTTTTATTTAATTCTTCATTTCATTTTCTTTTATACATTGAATCACATTATTTGGCTTACAAAATGGATATTTCAACAGGTGAACATTTTTTCTTAGTACAGTTGATAAAACTATAAATTATCTTCAACATATCTACCACATTTCTTTGTCCCATTAATGCTTTGCCTCCCTATTTTTCTTCTAAATATCCTTCCTCAGACCCTCCTCTTTCACACACACTATATCTGGTATTTACATCTATATACTGTGTTTC